GAACAGTTAAAAAAGGTATGAACCTATCACAGGATATGCGCCATGTGACTACAATGTGCAATTATACAGGAAGCTGAAGATGTGAGAAAGAAGAGGGGCATTTCTCTTGTGTTACTGCGGCCTATATTTATGTAAATCAACCTATTTAATACAACCAAGCTTCACAGTCTCTCATCCATGCAAAAACCAAGCCTCACCCTGCTTGGCTTCCCAAACCATGCAAGTTTGGTGTGCTTAGGATGACATGGATAGGAAAACTATCATGTACAATAACATAGACTAATTATATGGTTCACAGGCATTATAGTAATGTCTCAAAGAGGAATGCAAGTTTTCTAAGAGCACTTGAAATGTTATTTCATTAATTCTAATGCTTTAATGTTAAGTAGATTGGATGGTGCTCTATTACATATTTGTCCACTTATAGAGCCACTTTATAAGCTGCCATATCTTCTGCCAGAATTTCAGATTGCTTTCTTGTATTAAACTTAACTAAGTGCCAAAGGAAACCTCAGTTTAGACACTCCTGGGTGCTAAAGGTTTAAATAATGTATTTATCAGAAGCAGTTAGAGGTGTTCCTGAAATGCGGTGGCAAGTACAATGTGGCAAGAACAGATGTTAGTTTAATTTCTGTACATTTGTATCTGTTAGCTAGTCTGGCTACCTTTGACATGGCCATTTAGGGCAATGATCACAGATGGTGTGTCTATGCATATTACAGTTCCTTGCATCAAACAGAATAGCTGTGGTGAATGAAGCAAATGCAAAAAAGAATGAGGCTGCATTGATCATAGGAGCAGAACAATACACAAAATCCACAAGTGAACAATACCTTTTTAAGGATCAATCAAAGATACACAAAATATACAAGAGAGGTGGGAAATAATGGAAATTCAAATCTATGGACAGGTATTTCAAGTCATGGAGAACTGCAGTCAAACAAAGTTGGAATGTGGAGCTTCATGTGTCAGCCAGTTATGCAGGTAACCTATGACCTCTGGTAGAGCCTACTGAATTTGGGAGGGCAAATAATATATTCTTGGATGTTTTGGTTTTCTCCCATTGAATGGGCTTCACCCTTCAAAATTAACTGTAGAAAATTCTTTGCCCTCTGCCTGGAATTTTAGATGGCAGGGGTCAGATCTTCTGGATAATTACACTATCAGTCCTAGAAGTCCTCATCCCTAATTCTGCATACGCAGGGAAGGGGTATTTGTTTCAGCAATCATCTACAAACAATGCAAAATAACTCATAATTCAAGCTACAACCTCTTTCAAAGAGTGAAGAAGCCATGAGGATGATGGAACCAGTGCTCCATAGCTTTGGTTCTAATTGTAGAACCTACACATGGGAGAATTTAATTTCAATTTGTTTTTTATTAGAATTTTCCCAAGTTTCTCCATATTCAGAATGGGAAGAACTTGAGATTTCTTAAGCCGAGAGTATGAAAATAGTTCAGAAGTGGGTGAAATCAGAATAGACAGATTTGTCCATCTGTTGTTTTGAATCATGGGTGCAGTATGAAGCATAATATCCCACATCCATAAACTGGGGGTTTACTGAAGATTTAATAAATAATCCAGTCCATCTGGTCCTGTACTGTTGCCTCTGACTGTCAGCAGCTTTCTGGAGTTTCATTATAGGTAGCAGTTTTTCCTAGAAGGAATAATTATAGAAGGGGAACCTAAAACGTTCTTCATGTGAAGCAGTTCTTTCACCACTGAGCCAAATTTCCCCCTTTCCTTTTTGGGTGGGCTCAACAATCTTTATGGTATGATTAAAAAATCACTCCAAAATGTTAAGTTGATAAATGATCTTAATTCTGATTGATTAATTGCTTGGTTGAACCTGCCTAGATTTTCATATGCATGGAATAATAGTTCTGAGGAACGAAACACGTTTTAGTTGTTTTTCACATGATGAGCTCTGACAGAGTTGTTCCCTCAGCTTTCAAACAGAATGGAAGCAGAGGCTTTGCTTGAACCCTTTTGCAACCTACTCCTTAGATTTCAGTGTGACTTTCCTCTGTCACAGTCACCACCTCTCTTAGGTCCCTGATTCAGTAGATCGGAGAGATTCCTGCTACAGGATTCTTTCTTGTTTCTTTCTCTCTCTTTTTAGAGAGAATGATATACAGCCCAAATTTCCACTGAGCTTCACAAAGTAACCAGTACATGGAAGGCTGGTAAATCTCTGGACAGACCTTTGATCTCTAAAAAGGATGTCAACGTTTTAAAATTCATAGACAAATTACATGCACACACTCTTTGGAAAAATGCTGTGAGCTACATCAGGGCTAGTTATACTGCCTCAGGCAGCAGATCCGGAATGCCATGAAAAGGTAGAAAATTCTCTGTTATTTTATTTTGACTGTTTCTTTGTACCTTGTGTGCCAATGAATCAGCAAGTTTTCAGGACTATGAAACCTGGCATTTTAGTACAGCATGAGATTTTGTGGGTTATAAAATATATAGCCCATACATGTTCAGACTACACCCTTTTACGTCCTATACCCCTTGGCCTGTGAGAAGAGCTTGGCTTTTACTGTTTGTGGAGCCTATTGGTGGTTAAAAGTGTTGTACTGCAGCCAAAACTGTGCTCATGACCCAAGATTCAATCCCAGGTAACCAGTTCAGGGTTGACTCAGCCTTCTATCCTTCTGAGATTGGTAAAGTAAGTACCCAGCTTGCTGTGGGGGCAATGTGTAGCCTGCATAATTTATTTGTAAACCACACGGAGAGTGCTTTAAGCGCTATGGGGTGGTATATAAGCAGCACACTTTGCTTTGCTTTTCATGAAATTTATTGATCTGTTCCTAAGTAAAATCATATAAGCAGCACACTTTGCTTTGCTTTTCACCTCAGGCCATGAAATTTATTGATCTGATACTAAGTAAAATCGCAGGTTACCTTGTCTTGACATGGCATAAAGCAATCAAAAATCACGTAACAGCATTCATAAGCGCTTCTGCAACCACTAGATCAACAGGAAAGGGAAATAATAGTCCTAACGTAATTATCTATATGTTCCCTACCTATGCACAGATGTAGTCCTCATCGTGCCTGTTGTAGGACAAAGACCTGGCTTCAAAGTTTGGGTGCAATGGCTAGCATGCATTCCTTTTAGGAATCCAAACAAAAATAATTAACTTTTCATCATGTTATCACTTTAAAGATATTTCAGTGAATTTGATGGCTAATCCCCTTTAATCAATAGCCTTGTGACTTCTGATCATCCATCTTTTATGATGGTCAATCTTTCTAGGCACGACTTCAGGTTTTGTGTACATTGCAACTGCTAGACTTCAAGGGTGTAGCCTCTCATTGTCACAGACAAATGTTGCAGTATGTCTCCTCTGAGCAGAGACACAAGTTCCTCTTGAAAGATCACATCCAAAGTTTGTGCAACTATTTGCATTAAATTATTTTGTAACCTACTGCTCCTTTAATTGGGGGCATCTTTGCAGTTGATCCAGCTGCTTAGCTGATTAATCTAATTAATCAATGAAAGGCTTAAGCCTTTAGGGTTAATTTGACCCAGGGCCTCAAAGGAAGATTCAAGATGCCATTTCAATAAAGTCATTAAAATGATGGCCCTATTGAGTTGGGACTATCAGGAAGAACAGAAGCATAAAGAATTCTAACCTGACATCAGAGGATGATTTATGATGGAAATCATTATGAAGCACCACAACTGACCCTGAACATGAATAAACCCCGAACATACTATATGGCATATGCTCACCAGGGAGGTTGTTATTCAAATACTGCAGTGCAAGCTTTCTGGATTTTTGTTCTTTCTTCCCTGCTACACAACTGAAATATCATTCTAACTTAAAATCAACACCAGAGTTCTCTTAGAGAGAGAGAGAGAAAAAATCAAAGTTATAAGGCTCCCTGAATACTACAGAGTATGAAGAAAGTGTTGACTAGGGAAGGCTGATTTGTTTTGCATAATATTGGAATCCAAACCAAGAGAAAATTCCCATCTACCTGTTCATCATTCCATATCTTGCCACTCACTGATTTATTATTCAGTGGCTTACAGCAAAGAAAACCTTGAGCTGGCACCTTATTTTCTCAATCACCTGTACGTATATTCCGCATGTGGCAGTAACGTTGTTTGGCTGGAAACATGGACCATCATCTTCAGGTTTGCCAAGCTCCTTTTTAGCCACAGTTAACATAAACAGGCTAGAGTAAACTTTTGAGGATAACATTTGAAGATGCCATAATTTTCAACATGAAAACCCTCCCCAGTCAAAGCCTGTAATACAGAATTCCATGAAAGTGTATGTCCTGCAATGCAATACATCTGAAAATGAGGTTTAATATTTTTAAACAGTGAGGCATTCCCACTACAGTTCAAAGGCTTCCTGTCTCAAGTGTCTGCTAACATGCCCTCTTTTGGAAAGGTTCATTGTTTTCCTTATAAATGCAGTCGACAAAATGTGCACACCTGATAATACTAGACTTGTCCCATGTCTAAACAGAAGTGCCTCACCATACTCTATGCTGGCTAAAAGTGATGGGAATTGCAGTACAGTGATATCTGCAGGACCACATGTTTGCCATCATTAAAGAAGGTATTCTGATATTACCAAATATGGAGATAATTCCCCCCAGGTTTCATTCTACTGCTGTTGCATGCAAATGTGTAACTCACCTTTTTAAACAGCTAAAAGAATTCTGTAAATAAAGGAGATTAATCTGCCTATGAGAAAAGGTTGGAGTGCAGGATGTTTTTAAAATAAGGTTAAGTCTCTTATAAGCTAATCAATTATTTGTTGGCAGGAATTATCCATTTTAAAAAATTATATCCCTACAGAGGTAAATTCTGCCAAAACTGCAGCTATCTGGAAATCATTACATTCAGAAGGCATTGAACTGGATAATCTTAGCCAGCTGCCTCCTATTATAGCATAATATTTGTTTTTAAAAAGGAGTTTACATTGTTAGCATAATACACATACAAGCTTCATTAAAGAAGAAGACTTACCTACAGTCAGCTGTCCTGTTAACTGTCCCATGTGATTTCTTGCATTCACTGTTACATTCCTGTCAGACTGTAAGACCAGTGGGCTATCCTGGGAAATATGTATAAGACAAGGAAATGAGAGGGAAAAAATACAGGAGGCAGAGTCAAGCTATAAATATCAACATGATTACAATGGTGAGGTTTGATCAAAATGGTTGACATAATTTATAATCCCTTGGAATTCAGGCTGTGGAATTAATGCCAAGGAATTCCATTTGGGACGTGGCTCCTCACATAACTACTAATTATAAGGTCCCATTGCATTTATACACTCTTTGGAAAATCTGTAGTTCAGGCTTAAACAAATGTCTGTCAGTTTTCTAATGCCACAAATAATTGTCTAAGTTATTCAAAGTGTGAAGAAGGAAGTGGCAGGAGTTAACAGAAATATGTGAAACCCTGCCATGTAGTGGCACAGGACAGGGACATCATGATCTAAACCAGTGGTTCTTAACCTGGGCGATATCGCCCCCCAGGGGGTGATTTCATTTTTCAGGGGGGCGATGGAACGAAAAGGGGCAATGTGGGGGCAAAGGAACAGAAGGGGAGCAATATGGGGGCGATGGAGTGAGCCAAACCTGAGAAGGTGGCTGCACGGTGCTGGCAGGAGATCCAGCAGGCGGATCCAGAGTAGCTGGTGCTGTCATCAGATCTGGGGTCACCACTGCGTCACTGCCGCAGGGAGGGGGGCAATGATAACTTCCTCAATGGCTCAAAGGGGCATTTCTTTCAAAAAGGTTAAGAACCACTGGTCTAAACAGACATGCCTCTTCATGAGGCGCACAGCTGCCGGGGTGAGGCTCCTTTGCCCACCCAGCTGGAAGAGACAGAAGCAGCAAGAAGCTGCATCATACTGGGCGAAGAGCTGGGTGAGAGCAGAGCCTTTAAAAAGGCTGCCCAGCCTCGCCTTGGCCTCCCTTATACCTTTTCAATGGTCCACCCTTTATGGTAAGAATAAGATTAGCTAGTCGCTTAGGGGCTGGGTGGAAATTTTTGACTTGCACTCAAATTGGCGTGAAGTGCAAGTCTTTTTTCACCCATCCCATTCTTTCCTGTGAGGGCAGTTTCGAGGCTATGTGATAAATATTAATATCCCTTTTTAAATACGTCACAATGGCGGGTAGTGCAGAAGGATAAGGGTTAGTCAGTTCCTAAGGAAGCACATAGAGGGCGCTAAGCACCCCTCTTCTCAGAAGGGCAGCAGCAGAGCTTTAGTTGAGAGGAAGGGAAGCTGGGACCCTAGGGAATGCGGAGCAGCGAGGGTATGAGACCTGGATAGGGCAAACCTGGGGTACTACAGCTGGGATACACGGAAGTGTGCTGTATGGTAAGACAGCGTGCTTTTGTTATAGGAACCTGACGGGCAGTCTGGACCAGAAGGTCAAGGTTGACTCCGGTTATAGACCAAGTCTTTTGCACTACGGTAGGCCCCCTTGTGGAAAGGGAAGGTCTGGGTTATAAATAAGTTAATAAAGTTGTGGCCCTAGTTATCCCATATACCTGCGTCTGTCTCATTATTCCGGGTTGGGTTGGGGTTAGGGCAAGGGGACCTCGATGAGAATTGTTTGGAAAGATCAGCTCATGGCTATTAAGCTACAATGATAAACGTGTGAGCAATAAATATGGTGAGCTGGACTGTTTTGGTGGGATTTTTAAGTGAATAGTGCAAATGGTATTATTTTCAAAGTTTACCTGCATATATCTACAATGCCAAAAATCCCACAATGGGAGTGATGGAATTCTGGAGGTTGTAGTAGTTAGAAAGCTTTGGATTTTCATAGGGGTTAACCCTTGCAAGGCTGTATTATTCGTAGGGCTGACTAGGCTGAACCCTAGGGGCCCATCAATTTATTCATTGATTTATGGTTAAGCTGTCAGCTGTAGTTGAAAGACTGAAGTGCCAAAGTGTGAAGAAGGAAGTAGCATATACATATGAAATACCTGAAAGTCTGGGGCCCAGCTGTGGGTTAATATGGCCCTGATCTGTGGTTGACAAGATGGAGGAGCACAGAAAGAAGCCAGCCAGTCAGCCAGCCTACTTGCCTCCTGGGGTTTCCCTGCCAACCACAGGAAACTGGCAACCACGGCCAAAATCAATTGTACCTGCTACTGAAATATGGAGGAAAGTGCAGCAACTCTGTCCAGTGTGCTTCTGCACCTTAGAGTGGCCCTAGAGCAATAGTTGCCAACCTTGAGTCTCATGCTATGGTGGAACTTCAGCTCTCAGAAGCTTCACCCAGCATGGCCAAAGGACAGGAATTCTGGGAGTTGTAGTTCAAGACATCAGGAGTCTGTCCCCACATCACCCTGCAGCACCAAGTTTCAGCATTAGGCTTTTGGTGATAGTAGTGACTGGATTGCTGATACTGAAAGCAATGGGATGGTGGTGGGTATCAAATGAGGGGCAGGAACTGCAAAATAACTGGTAGGGACACCTGTGGCCTATGGAGAATGCTTTACCACCTCTCCACCAGGGCCATCTTCACATCTCTTGGTGGGGTACATATGACATATAACATTTATTCATATCTATATTTTATACTCTCTCTCTCCCTCCCCCTTTCATATCTAATTATTTGTTACTAGCTGCCTTTTCACAGGGAGCTCAAGGTATCATAGATACCTGCCTTAGTCTGACTGTCCAAAGGTCACCCACTGGATTTCCGAAACTTATGTTTGAAGAGTTTGAACCTGGGCTCTTCTCAGTATTAGTAATATTATACATGAGTGCCTCATTTCTCCCTTTTGAACGACTAATTTCCCAAAGCATTATTCCCAATTAAGCCACCTAGTGGGAGTGGCCACCTTTTTATCCTGTCTGAATGTTTATATAGCAAAGATGCTTCATTTAGAAATTAGGTATCTTGCTTTGTATGAAAAACAACATTCAAAAATGCAGGAAAATATACCTCCCACATTTCCGAATGCATTGCCAGCCAGACAATGAAACAAAGTCAGACAACAAAGAGATTTGCTAAACAAAGAACAAGAGATGAAGTTTTTGAGGGCATGAAAAAAAATCATAAGCTACTGACTGCCACAGATCAGATTAAACTAATATTTACAGGAATATTATTGAGCACTGTTAATAGACAGCATTCCAAAATTCATATCATATTGGATTATACCTCCAAGAACTCATATATATGGCAGGCTTAATTATGGTTATATACAGTAAATTTGTATATAAATCTTAGTGTGTGTGCATGTGTGCGTCCACTAGTGATGGATTCATAACTATGTAGGTTGACCAGTATATCAACATTAGGATATCATATGCTGGAGAACTGCAAATGGTTAATTTATTTTCATATTGTATCCTAAGAGAAACTTTTTTAAAAAGAAAAATCAAAGTCACTGATTATGACATACTACATATTTCATGTTGGACATCTAAAATATGAAGTTGTTTCTGATGATCTGTAAATGACTGAACATCTTTTGACAGCTACCAAATGGCAGTCACTCAAAGATGTAGGGAAACAAGGAGCAGGCAATCCATCATCTACAAAAGAACTGCTGTGTGATCAAACTAATACTGCATGAGTTAGAGAAAACAGACAGATGGATAATAGAATTGTTAGAAAATGGATCACAGTCCAATCTTTTGGAATTACAGTATATAAGATAATATGTAACCAAATGAATGCCTGTTTCAAATACTTCAATTTATCTGTTTAAACTATGATGACACTTAAAAATAGTTTTGAAATCTTTCTGGCCAGCTCACTAGCAATTCACAAAGAAAGAAATTATTCTAAACAATACAAGGAGTCTCAATACAAGGATTGTGTATGAAAGACATAGATCTCTTAGTTGAAAAGAAGTTGGAAAGTTAATGATTGGTCTGAGTTAATTGACACTATAAAGATTACAATGGAAATAAAAAGTAATAGCAACAAATGTTCTCATTTCTGCATTTAACCCGTGCTCCACCTCTCTTACTGTGGATGGGTAGGGAGTGTGCACTTGGTCACATGCTGTACTTTGGATGTTTATATACACCTGCTAGCCAGGTGAGATAACAGCATAGGAAAGCAGCTGTGATTCAGTTTGAAGTGTTTGTGTGTAAATGAAAGCTGTGGGAGAGGTGGGATGAAATGCTGTCTAAAATCTGACTACAAATACAATTTTAATGGAACATTACAGAGAAATGTTCAAGGCTGAACAAAAGAGTAGATTTGGGGCCCTGCTTTTTACTTGCTGTTTTTGAATCATCCCCACGTTGGTGAGGGCAATTTTATATTTACAAAAGGCAGCATTTTGCTCAGATTTGTTGTGCCGGATTCAAAGGATTGTTTTTTAGGTTTTATGGGCATTTGGCAACTTTGAGCCTTGAACTGCTGCATGCTTGCGTCTTTCTTACATTTAATCAGTCTTTACAATTAGCCAGAGAGGAAAGTTGCTGTATGCGAATCCTTTGTTTACCAAGAGGAAAGGAGTCTGCAGGAAGTTCAAAAACAAAAGCTCTTTGTCAGGCTCTAGGCAGGAGGCAAGGAATCTTGTCATTCTGTCTAATCCCTCCTGGAGGGCTTTTTGTCAGGGGGAGCCAGTCAAACTCAAAGAGGAAAAGGAATATGCAAATATTCGTCATATTCTCATGTTGAACCAAACTATACTAAGTCAGAAATTGGAGGAAGAAGAGAGACTTCTAACTATGATCATGAGTTAGTTCAGACTAAGGATGAAATGAAAACTTGCAAATTGAAATTCTCCATTGAACAAAATGGTTGGGCAGTCTATGATGTTTTCTCCTGCACTGGAGCAAAACAACCAGTACGTTTTTGATCATCAATAGCACTATGCAAGGTGGGATTTTTTGGCACAAAATTCAAATTTTTCTAAATATTTTTTTCATCAAAACAGTGGCAAAAGGGAGAGAAGGAGGCATAAAAACTCTCATGAGAGAAAGCTTAAAAAAAATTCCTCACCTGCAAGAATGAAATCAGAGAAGATTAACATTACTACTTCAGACTTAATCAGTGTTTTGTAATATGGATCCCCAAATAAACAGGCTGTTCTGAAATCCCTGTCATGAAATCTATCTGC